TATCTTTACGTTTCAGAGGTTTCTGAACATTTGGCATACCTTAGAAAAAATGGATGTATGTGTGTGTGTGTGTATGTGTGCGTGTGTTGTGTTGGTGCGGATACAAATTTTCGTCGACGATTTCGGGAACACGGATGAAGCGATTTGAATGATTCAAAGAGCATTCGATTCGTATTGATAAGAGACGTGCTGATTAGTTTTTGGCGGAGGCAGGTCTAGCCGTTCCGAAAATATAGGGCAAAAAGTTCCAAAAACGGTAACTCAGTTTTAAAGAGAACGAAGCGTCTGATTTGAATATTTCAAAAAACATTTGACTTGTATTAAGGGGCACAACTAGTGTAACCACCTTAAAAAACGGTAATTTTTGGGAATTTATATTAAAAAAATCTACTTTATCAATCATTTCAAAATTCAGGAATATATTTATACATGTTTTAGGAATACATAGTAAAATTTTTTAAGAAAAAAATTAAATATTTTTAAGTTACCGTCGATCTCCAACGGCGCGAAAAAAAGGCCCTTAACTGTTGCAGTGATTCGGCCTTCTACGTGGGTAAAATTAAAAAGAAAAATCTCGTTAAACTAGATAATATTGTCTGTAAAATGAACTACGATAAAGAAAATCAAAAATTGACCAAATTTCGGCGTTTTAAAAAAAAAGTCGAATTTTACCCAAAATTTTGATCGTTTTTCGACTGCCAAATTCGATTTTTGATCTTACGGAAAACTATATATAGAACATGTTAAAAAAATTGATAGTGATCGGATTATTTGTTTTTGAGTAATCATTGCAGCAAATTCGGAAAATGATATTTCGAGAAAAACGCGTTATACTATATACTATATATATACTCTTTAAATGGCTGTAACTCAAAAACTATTTGAGATATCGATTTGGCATTTTTATATGTTATTTTTAAGGGTGTAATCTACCAAAATATGAAAAAAAAATAAAAATCGTCTTTATCGAAACTTTACACTAGTTGTGCCCCTTAACAGATGAAGAACTGATCAAATTTTCATGATGACAGGTCCAGCGGTTTCGGAGATCTAGTGAAAAAAGTAAAAAAAATGAGCCATTTGGCGGTCAAAATGATCATTAGACATATGCACATGAAATTATGAAATATTTTATAGATATTTTAACAATAAGTATAAATTTTGTTTACATTCCTAATGTTTATCCGTTAGACGGCGACGCGGCGCTTACGCGCTTCGATATTTTATCTCTATGCAGTTAAAGCAGTACGATTGCTTTGAAAAAAAGTTCAGAATTTCCAAATATATTAAAATAAATTTTTCTTCAAAAAGTCTTTTTTTTTCAAAAAAAGTAAATTTTTGTCAGAAATTCAGTATAGTTTCTCAAAAATCTAATTTTTTCAGAGTAAAAAAAAAAAAATTTTGGTACGGAAAGTTGCAGCAATTTGCCTTAAGGCACGATGCCATGCGCCCCACTAGTAATTATTCTACAAATGTTGGGATGTGCAGGATTGAGTATATATAAAGGCAGACCTTAGCCTTAGGTTTTAAAAGCTACTCAATTCGTATAATTCTACAGCTAATGCTGCAGCCCTTGCATGCATAGTTTATGAATGTATCCCTAATTCCTTTTTCCCATCAGGGTCACTAAGCTCATTTCATCCTTTGATGAGATTACAGAAATATTCGCCCGCTGATATTTTAATCCCAAGGGTCTTTGTGTCTCATGCGGTTACAATAAATACTGAATAATCCTTTGAATACGTTATTTTGTTATTCAAATTTAATTCATTATTATGCGAGCGATTATAAAGTTAAAACCTAAAACTGTGTCGGCATCAAAGCGAAGCTCTGTGTCATTAGTCGAAAAGTAATTAAAGATATTTTGTAACTGGATGATGAATTGAATGATAATGGAAAATATTAAGGAGACACATTAGAGGAGGTATTATATCATTATATATCGAAAACAAACTAGTGGTGTATGGCATCGTACCTTAAAACAAATTGCTGGAACTTTCCATACTATAACGAAATGATCGAGGATATTAAATGTTTTCAAATAATTATTATAATACTGTAACATTATCTAATATTCAAAAATTATAATGAAATGAATTACAAAGTTAACATTATTTATTTAAAGTATATAAGTGCGCTTCAGAATTTTAGCCAGTATTAAAATTAAAATCTGAATTATTTCGATATACAAAATATTGAGAAAACTAGCTGTAAGTGGATTCTTCTTGAGGCAATTATGCCATCGTGCCTTAAGGCAAATTGCTGGAACTTTCCGTACCGTAACGAAATGTTCAAGGAATACTGAATGTTTCAAATAGATTATTATAAATATTGTAACATTGTCTAATATTTATAAGAATATATGACTGAATTGCAGAGTTGAAATTATTTGTAAAGTATATTAGAACTAGTCAGAATTAAAATAAAATCTGAAATATTTTCGATATACAAAAAACAAAAAAAAGGAAAAATTGGAACAAAATTTAATAAGCCTAAATTCTTCGATCATTTAAATCGGACGCTTAGTTCTCTCAAAATTGCCATTTTTTCATATTTAGCTCCGTATCTTCAAAATGGCTGGGCCTGCTTTTGCCAAAACTAATAAACACTTCTCCCTTCATCATTACTAATTGAATGTTTTTTAGATCATTCAAATCGGATACTCCGTTCTCTCAAAATCGATTTCTATTTTCTGCACTCTTTGCTCCGTATCTCCGAAATGGCTGCCTGCCTTTGCCAAAAACTAATCAACACATCTTCCTATCAATAGATGTCTATTGCTTTTTGAATTTTTTAAATCGGTTAAATCATACGCCCGAAATCGTCGACGAAAATTGTCTTGACACACACATACACATCCATTTTTTGTGAGGTATGCCAAAATATTCAGTAACCTCTGAAACGTAAAGATATGCAAAAAAAATCATTTTCGAATTCTGGCTTGATTACTATAACTTTCCCTACGGTGAATTAATAAAGTATGCATTATTTTAAAGGGTACTATTTTAAAGTAAAGGGCAAAAGGTGTCAATCAGCCATAGCCTACATGTAGATAAACGTCTACATTGTTAATTTTTTAACAATAGTTATATTTTCTTGTGAGTTTTTATTGCATTTTGGGTAGTGTTATTTAGTTTACGATACGTCGGCTGTCTTTTTTACTTCGCCTATGTAGTAAAAAATAACACATGCATATTTTTGAAAATATCAAAATATAATTCTACAATGATGTTTGATAGTTGTTTGTTTGATATGTGTTGTGATGTAGTTCATTTGGTGGGGCACAACTAGTGTGAAATTTTCAAAAATCGAATTTTCAATTTTTTTATATTTTGATAGGTTAACCTTTAAAAATAACATACCAAAATTTTAAATCGACATCTTAAATAGTTTTTGAGTATCAGCCATTCAAAGAGTATATAAAGTATATAGTATAACGATCATTTAATCTTTAAACACGTTTTTCTCGAAACAGCATTTTTCGAATTTGATGCAGCGATTACTCAAAAACAAATGATCCGATCACTATTAATTTTTTTTTACATGTTCTATATATAGTTCTCCGTAAAATGAACTATCGATTTTTTGATCGGATCAAAAATCCAATTTTGGCAGTCCAAAAACGACCAAAATTTTGGGTAAAATTCGACTTTTTTTAAAAAACGCTGTCATTTTGTCAATTTTTTATTTTTTTTCTTTATTGTAGTTCATTTTACAGACAATATTATCTAGTTTAACAAAATTTTTTTTTTAATTTCTTCCACGCAGAAGGCCGGAATCACTGCAGCAGTGA